TTAAATTTATTTTTATTTTAATGTGTAGGGAGGAAATACATCATCAATTTAGGTGGCTCGACTCAATCTTTTCAAAATGATATAAACAAGGAAGAGGCAAATAATGTTCTACATTATCCATCTCAGTCTTCAGTGTTTTGTCCTAACACAAATCAATCAGTAAATGATGCTTTTATTTTTTTTTTTTACAAGAATGTTAATAAATTTAATACTTATTTATTTATTTTATTTTAATGTGTAGGGAGAAAATACAAACATCAATTTACGTGGCCCATTCAATCTATTTGGTTATCAACTTGATCCATTTTCATCACATGTACATCAATTCTAATGCTTTGTAAATTAAAATTTAATAGTCTATTAGTCTTTACTATTTTAGTCTATTATTTATGCAGGGACCCTCCATAATTGAAGGTAATGGTGATTCGAGTTTGGCTAATGCATATTCTCATGTTTTTTAGATTGACTCTTTATTGTGGTGTGATAGTGTTGTTAGAGACATTTATTTTGTGTATTGTACTTGCGGATTATTTTTTGAACTTGGTTGGAATGTACCTCTTCAGATAGGTCTAACAGTTGAGACTCTTTATTTTCCTTATGTATAACAGTTGGGACTCTTTTTGTTCCTTATGTATCTCTTCAGAAAAGTTTAACATTTGGGACTCTTTATTTTCTTCATGTTCGTCGACATCAATCTTTAGATAGAAAGAAATAGAATCTTGCATTTATTTTACTATGATAGAAAAAACAAAAAAAAGTTGTATGATAATCGATCCAAATTCATCACCTTATGTTAGAACAACTTAAAAGAATCTTGACAGTTAAAATAAAACAATAAGAATACTCATTCATTTCTTTTATATCAGAAATTAATCATATTGTAATAATAACGAGCATTACAATTACAACTAGAAACAACAAAAGTAATAAATTAAAAAATCTTATCAAGTTTCTTTCTTTTTTTTTTTTTGTTTTTTTTTTTAAAAATCTTTTAGCTTTCACGATCCACTATAGAGTTCTCGCTTGTGCCAACTTCTTCTCTTATGCTTACTTCATTTTCATTTATTGGATTAGCTCAACCAATAAATCCATCTCTATCACGAATGTAATATAGTTTTTGAAAATTTGCACTTCGGGGGCCAACAATCTTAACTACAAGTGATTTGATCACATATTTTTTCTTCATACTTCAATCTACTTGGTCCTGGTCCTGTAAATTTCTTAGCGGTTGAAGTATGTGACATTTCCAAACCTTCAAAAAAAAATGAAATGTCATTATTCAAGCAACCACTCGAACCCAAAACCCAAATTCTACTAGCCATAATAAACAAGCGCAGGTAAACGTGCACAATAACATAAACAGGACAATATATATATATAAGCATCACAAAAGAAAATTCAAAATTCTACTATCCATAATTGTTGAACTTGGCAAACAAAAACAAAGCTTAAGAAAATTAATATCTCATAGAGATTCCAAAAGGAAATTTCTCATCTCATACAAAAAGTTTAACATACCCTAGTCTACTCTATTCACAAGCTCATGTGCAGAGATTTCATATTGTTTCAAAAATAATAAATGAAGCTCATCAAACAAATTACACAAGCTGACAAAGAGTAGCATTAGCATGACAAAATCCAAATTATGGAATATGGACAACCTATGTCTTGAATCTAATTGCACAATCTCATAAAAATAGTTCATAGACACATATTCTAATCATTCACCAAGTCTCTTTCTTTTTTTTTTTATCTGAAACGATAATATAAAAAAATGAGGCACGCTCCAACCAAAACACTAAATAAACTACAGCAAACCCCAACCAGAACACAATAAATTTTCAGCACAAACGATCACTCCAAAAGCCTAGGCTAACAAAAATGAAATGAAAAAGCCACAACACACCAAAAGCAAACAACCAACACCACTAACTAGCTAAGAAGCAGAACAAACAAAGAGCAGTAAATGGTGTAGCTGAAAACTGAAGCAACACTGCCAATCCTAGAGTCTCATTCACCAAGTCTCATTAAATCTCATAGCAACAAAAATCCACCAATCATTGTGGACCAAAAATACGCAGCTAAACGAAATTAGACACAATTGAAGAACAAAACAGAGGAGCCTAATTTTAAGCTCCAAACCCTAATTCCGAAAATCACAAAACTAAAATTACAAATCAAATAAACAAAGAGTGACGAACTCAAAACAACAACTCACAATTTTCATAGATTAACCCAATTTACAAATAGAACTAATCTACGTAACCGTGAAATGCCCATTTTTCTATACCTGTGAACTCGCCAAAATGCATTTTCTTCCGCCATAGATTTCTTGAAGTCGGGCGATGTGTTTACTGTTGCAATTTCTTGAATTCAGGCGATTTGAAGTCGCACAAGCAATTTGAAGTTTTTGGGGCTAGTCGAGCAACTTTTCAGATCTGTGTTTTAAGTTTGAAGTCGATATGTGGTTTTTAATTGGAAAAGTAACCATGGTATGATTTTTATATAGTTGTCAAGAAATAAAAAAAGTTGAAATACTCTCAGCATGAATTTGGTCCGAAAAGTAAAAGAGAAACAAGAAACATGTTTATGTTCCATTTGGCACAAGGTAATTGGTGATCAATGAAAGCGGGTAGTAACCATAAGGGTAGTGTCAACTGAACCTTGAAAGACATGCATACATTTTTTTTTTTGCCGAAATGATAGAGATATTATATATAAGCTAACAAAGCACAGACACCAGCTGAATATAATCAACCAACAGCTGAATAAAGTGGGAGGACAGTCAAAGACCGCCTAGAGCCGACCCCAACAGGGTAATACTCACGGACACAAAAACACTACCACACAAAACACTACGAAACTCAAAAGACCCCAACAAGGTAATGCCCGAGTGTACGATCCCAACAGGATAATAAAGTCACACTCGGGCTAACTGAGTCCAACGGCCCAAATCTAAAACACAAATACAGATACAAACACAAACACATACCGCACTAAACAAGAAAAAAAAGACAAAATAAACAGCAAAGCCCTTCCCCCGACATACAAGCGGTACGAACCAGCAGTGAACGATCGACACAAGAAAGAATCCTAGCCAGAGAATCCACTACAGAAACTGCGCGAACGCCTATACAAGTAGCCGAAATTGAGCTCGAACCGATCCCCAAATCGACCCGTCTTCAACCGAAAGAGAATCGACCAGCACCTACACCGAACCATCCGAACCCGTCTAACACCACTAGTTGAGCTCAGGTTCCCCCGCCGCCTAACACCACTAGCCGAACAGAGGAAGGTGAAGGTGGGCCTGACCCTCAACCCCGTCCACCACGACTAAGAAGTTGCAGCGACCGGAGCCCCACCCCTCCGACGACTCGCACACCACCCAACCCCACCACAAGGGGACCAATCGGAGGCCCAGGCCCCACCACCTAAAAGAGGCGGAGCCCCGCCGAAATAGGCTGAAACCAAAATTTACCGACGACGAAGCGAAGATGGAGGGCTTACCTTGGCAAAACGAAGCTCCACCGGCGACTGAGGGGAGGATTGCCGTCGCCACAAACACCGACCTTGAAGGAGGCCACCATCGACCGGAGCTCTGACAGAAACCTCGAACCAGCCAATCGCGGCCCTTCCACAGCGACATCGGATGCGCACTTCTTCCGGGGGGGTTGAGCGGTCAAGGATGACCCCTGGCCAGAGGCCCGCCGTCACCGGAGAAAGCCAATCGATCGTAAATTAGAGATGAGACACCGGCGAGATTTGGGGGTTAGGGTATCGAGAGGAACGGAGGCTATGCATACATGTTGACACTTTCAATAATTACTGATGTGATACAAAAGTAGAAGATATGTAATTAAAAATTATACGTAGTTAATAATATATGGGTAATTGAATTTGTATTTAAATAATATTTAAAATATAATGATTAAAGCTGATATGATATAAAAGTAGAAGATATGTTATTAAAAATTATATGCAGGTAAAAATATATGGACTGAATTATCCTATTTGAATTTTTTTTAGTAGTTTTCATTTTTGTTTGTCGAATTGATTTTGCGTAGTTGCGAGTTTGTTATTTTAGCGTTGCTAGGTCAGGCTCTAGGTGATCTTTGGATCCGCCTCCCAGTCTTTCAGCCATTGGTTGTACTTTACAGCTTTTGGCTACTTCTCTTCGCATTTTATGCGGTTTTATTAATGTAGTATCTCCATCATTTTGAATAAAAATAGTGAAAGTTGATGTAATATTAGAAAATGAATGATTGATAGGTATTATTTAATTTATTTATAATATTGAAAAGAGTTGAGTTGAATTAAATTTGAGTTTGATTTTGAATTAAACAATGTAAAAAAATTATTTCAGTAGTTATAATCAATTTTCACTTGTAGTCAATCACAACGTTATTGATCTACATTAATTTTTGCCCCTACCTTTGTTTTGCTTCGAGTGTGATGAAATCATATAAAAATGTTATTTTTTACAAAAGCCCTATTTCACATATATATATATAAATATATATATATATTTTTTTATTTTATCTTATTTTCTTTTGGTTTTATCGAATTTTAATCATAATATGCCGAATTTTCTATCTCTGCCTTTATATAATCTGCTATGCTATGTAATATCCATACATGAAAAAAATAACGAAAGGCTGGTTCCATTTGATTGTGGCACATATTAGACATGTTCCAAACATTATCCACAAAATTTCATTGATTTTACAGAAAATAACGAAACTATCAAGTATCTGATATGCATACTTTCAGACCGAAATGATATGCTTTACGCAACAAGATAAACAAAAGTATGTCATTGAATAATAAATCTGAGAAAGTAATATCAATATTCAATCATTAGTAACGAATATGCATACTTTCAGACCGAAATGATATGCTTTACGCAACAAGATAAACAAAAGTATGTCATTGAATAATAACAAAAATTTATATATATATAATGTGAAAGTGTATATCTAACCTTCTGTCATCAGTTAGCTTCAATCAGCATGTTCCCGAAAACGTACGATTTTGTTAATAAATGTCTTCTCTTTCTGATATCTGGTGATGAAATAAAAAAAACAAAGAAATTATCACGACATAGCTTCGAGATATTATTTTGGTTACAACAGAAAATGGCAATAAAAGAAAATGCTCACATCACAAAAGCTGATACACTGAAACATGCCAACCCGAAGGACAAGTGGACTGTAAAGGTGGACCAGAAGTTATCTTTGTTAAGATATACTCTTTCGAGGATGAAAGTGGCTACACCTGAGACCAGCAGAAGTAGGGAGCCACTGGGCCAGCAAGCCCTAAAGGAGAACGAGTAGTCCTGAGAGGACTACATTTGAAGCATCAGTTTTTTTAACTGAGATACAACAATGTCATAGAGAGCAAAAAAATCATAAAATACTAGATAGTTGCGTGAAAAGATCGAGTCATGTCATACCTTGAAATATTTTTTGATGAAAATTGTTGAATAAATTATCCTGAAGATCATGTCTTTATTACAGTCAAGGAACCAAGGACTTTTTCACTTTTAAGACGAGCGAACATGAAATTATAAAAACTAATAGCAAATATGCCAATAGGGAAAATTTGGAAGGGGCTTAAGTATCATAAAAAAAATAAATAAATAAAAAAAGAAGCATGGGAAGGACTAATCAATCACGATTATTAGTAACAGAACACATAAAGGATACTCAAAGAATTTGCGATTATTAGTCCAATTGCACCTGCTGTTCTTATAAGTGCGACGTTCAAGATTAGGTAAATCATTGAGAAGACAAGCAGTGAGTCATTCGACTGTTTCAGCTGCTTCTCATCTGCGACAGCATGCAAAAATGCTTCTGATGTCCCTGATAGAAAACAAAAATAAAATTACACTAATTCTATAAAAAAAAAAAAAGCCTCAATATAATGCAATATTTGGTTTCGAAAAAGTTTCAGCATCATAAAAGCATCGTCCTACAGTAATGCACTACAGTACATAATTATTTCGGACCACTGGTAATTTTAGTTAGTGAAATAAAATTTAGGGAGAATCCTTGAAGTCAAGAAACAAAAACAATACAAAAATAAGTTAAAAGTGCAACTTTTAGTGATATAAAGACAAAAAAATGAAAGAAAAGAAAATGCAGAGTTATATGATTAACCAATTACCATTCATGGCTAACACAATCACATAAAGGCAATAACACTGGAGTGCGGTTGACGCTTCTCCATCACTCCATTTCCTACCATATAGCAACCTTATGAGAGAATAAGAGTAGCTTGGACCAAATGCGATCACAACCAAACCTAACCAATAAAAAAACAGTAACATTTAGGAAATAATTAAATATACATTGCCAGAAAATATGCCCTTGTTTGAAATTTAAAAATGCTATTCTTCACATTATAACAACCAGTGAATGCATAAATTTTTTTTCAAGCAGGAAGATCTAGAAAAATCTCATTTTATATTTGGTGTTAATATTTATGTCCATTAGAGCCATATATCATCTTCAATACTCTAATAATAGAAGGTATTGTTGTTCACTGTTTCTAAAATTGTCGTTTTCCTCTTCCATTGAACATTAATTGGAACTTTGACAATATACACCCTTGCCTGTAGTTATGTAAAGCAAAATGTTGATTCTCATTTATGCGGGCCGATGATGAACATAAGCTAAGCTAGATCTTAAATCTTATTTCAAAATAAGATGTTGAAGTGTTTGACTAAAATGGAAAGTGTGAATGTGCGAAGTTTTTACATGTTATAACTTAGGAGGGGTTGAGAGATTTTACAGAAAAAGTTGTCATAGAGCTATTTTGTTTAGAAGTTCATAAGCTCTTTAGGAGCTTATTTTTGCAAGTGAATTGTTATTTACACGAGCTTATAAGCAGTTAAATTCTTATAAGATGTTCTGAAGTGACTATAAGCTCAGCCGAACACCCTCTTGCTGGGACAAGCTACGAGAAATCTGAGGCCAAGTAAGATACCTATCAGCAAAACAAGCTTCAGCGCATCAGTCAGACTCCTTGCCAGGTTCCTCTTTTTCTCTTTGTAATCACCTGCATGCAAAATAAGTTAACAGCCTGAAATCACTGGTCCATACTCGACCGTCATCAATAACAGGATGTCTATAATTTTGGGCACTCAAGCCAGTTCTGTTCATCGGATTTACTTTAGATAACCATCTTTCCACGATGGACATCCCATGCCAACTCAGATAATGTTTTAGAAATTACACAATGTTTGTGAGGGTTATATGGTAATGATATACTAAATTTCTTGGATAATAAAACACACATTTGTAGAATTTGAACAAAAAATAATAATACCCAAAGGAGAGAGGTAAACCTGATGCAGACCTTGCAAAAGTAGCATAGGAACTTTCTTCGAAAGGAAGGAAAACCAGCCTCACAACCAAGCTTCCTGAGAGATCAAGCAGTTACTTTTAGAATACTCCAAAATAGCGGAGGTGGACCCTATAAGTGCTCACACTAGCATTCTCATCCGATGCAAGCAACCCTCTAATGAAAACTTCTTTCTTAATACATTGAATGATGGCAAAATGATCATGGACCTACCTAATTTGTCCACAAGCCCATAGACTGCTTGGTTATATGGTGTATCCAGCCATACAAGGACCATCTTCTCACCTTCCTGAAGAATCAACTTTCGGAAGGATTGAAGTGTGAAAATCATACACATGTTTGCAAGCGGTCTGTCATACCCTGTTTTGCTCCCTATCCTGCAAGAGTTATATCAGTATACGTAAAAAATTGAAAGCATTTTGCTTCTGAAAAACATTTTGTATTCACGTTGGAAAACAAAAGTCTTCATTATAAGAAAATTATGAGAGTACAGCTGTTACATTTCCCGGGTATCACCTTTTTGACATTGCTAGTGGAGAATTGGATAAAAAAGAAATATCGAACTGATTAAAATTACTTCATCCTCTGAAGATAATAATGGGGCTAGAAAGAAAATTAGTACCTTAATGGAAACAGAACGGTTGTTCTATAAACTCGAAATAAAAGAAAGTAGCCCCAATAACCTAAGAAAATAGATGCTCCATACGCAACCTGTGACAAGGAAAATACAATTGCTTTTTCCTGAAATGCAAACGATGGTTGATTCAGTCAGCAGTTACAAACTTGACTTGGAGGCATGAAAAGAGAAAATACGCATGGGAACAGTGAAGTAGCAAAGCACAGAATGTATGAGTGTACTAAAGAGAATTTGGTGAATGAAGAAAATAATCATAGTTTGGGACACCAGAAAAAACATATCAACACTTTCACATAAAGAATTATAAGGCAAATGAAACAAACACAAGGCAACGTGTTTTAATGGAATTGAATCAGCCTCATCAAATGAAGATTCACTTTGAAGGTTCAAAGAATGGAAAACTCCAGATGACTACAATATGAAGTTTGACACTCTTAAAAGGCATCCTTGATATCCTAACCAAAAAAACTAACAATACTAACAAGCATCCTTACTATCACAACCCAAAAGTGCCATCCATGATAATATATGATTCAACATAAACACGCTTAAAATGAAATATTACAATTTTCTTGCTCAACTCTATAGAGGAATATAAGCCTCCTAGGAGTTTGACTGTACCAGGCTCGGTTGCTTCAAGATGAGGACATAAGTTACAATACAGCGGAAAAGAGTGGCTGCAGCTTCAACTATAAGACGCAACCTGAGCAGAACCAAGTTCTGGGACAAAATATAAAGAGGCTCTGCCAGCAGCTCAATTATGCATGCAAAACCTGCATGTGTGTGGACATATTAATTCAGAAGTGTTAAAAGAAGCATTTATGGAACAGAACTTAAATCTTAAGCCAATGAATCATAAGTTAATGACTGATGCACAAAAATATAGCATCTATGCAATGGTCTTTATTTCAGAAATAGAATCTAAACTAAACTCCCATCAGCCAATGAACAAACAAAGCAACACCATATGTTTACATTAATAACAGGTATAACACTAATGAAAACACCAGCAGATGATTGAAAATCAACTAAAACAAAACACTTTAACTTTAAAAAGAACAAAATATTTGATGCTCCAATTTTCTATCTTTGGCAGTTAAGCTAGCACCACACATTTAAATTCTTTTGAAGTTCTACATTTTAGTCTGGAATTAACTTATTTTCACGTTTTCCAAACCCAGCCAGGCAGCCACTCATGTCCTGGAATACTATAATATCCCTTGTAGTGAACTTAGACAATTAAATAAATAAAGCCTGTGATCATGTCCGTGGCTTACCATTGATCAAAATAGCTTTTCCATATGGACTAGAGTAACTTAGGCCTTGCCACCAGAATACAAACAAACATGCTGCAAATGTCACCAGTATCCCTAACGGGAAAGTCATCCAGGCCACTTTCAACAGTTTAGCAGCATTTGCTCCTGTTGCTGAACCATTATGACTGCCAGATGCAGAAATCTCAACTATTAAATTATACCCAAAAAAGCAAAATATTCTAGATAGTCATGAATAAGTTTGCATGGCCATACTTCCATCAGAAAATTATCATGGAGACACTAGCATGCCTAGAAAAAGATAT